TCATAATGTCCGTACGCCCCTCTCCCTCCTCCCTCCTCCCGTGAAAATCGACTCTATGATGATGATGATAAAGAAGACAGGCTGCTTCGACCCTATCTATCAAGAACCAACCAGGGCGAGAGGATGACATGATGGTATCAAATCTACTCCTGCGTCATAGGCCATTGTATAGGTTTAACTCTCCTTCCAAAACTTCTAAGAGGCGGGATCTGCTCGTACATTAACGTCCACCCATGACAGGACCGAGCGAAATGGGTTGAGTGAGAGCCTTATAAACCCATCGGGGCAACTCAAGTTCAAAACGCCTTGCCGGGGTGTTTGAACCACAGCCATCAGCTCCGTAGTCTGGCATGGTACCAGCTAAGCTAACGAGGCACCAGTCTTTTGTGTGTAGGGGTGAACACCATTACACCATTTGCGACGGTTCTTCTCATTAGAAACTGGTCTAAAGTTGTTTTATATTATATATTTTTAAAAACTTCAGTGGGTCCTATATGACCCACTCTTCCATAGAATGCCTCGTTAGCTCAGTTGGCACCATTGTGGGCTATGGAGCGGATGGCCCTTGTTTGAATCTCCAACTGGACGTTCTTGAACTCAAGTCGTTTTTAGGTATCGCAACCGTTCTGACTAGGTCCTATCGGAGATGGATGTTAAATTCGAAGATCCTGCTTCTTAAATACCTGACAATGTCTCAAGAATCGTAAAACCCAAACATTTTCAACTTTTATCATTTTCTAGACAAAGGACGGCTATCGGGATGATCCGAAGTCCAATACCAATTGATACATGTTTTTTTTCTTTTCAAAATCATTGACAGCCCATTAAATATGCACTCCGCGACAAAGCATAACACAGTTCTCAGCGAAAATTTTCTATTCAACTGGGTCAACGATATTGAATAAGGAAGATTGAAAGCTGCATTCCCTGTCAAACTGAAAGTTCATTGAAATTCTTTGTTGCTTGAAACGTTTTTTTTAAAAAATCCACTTTTCGAAACAAACATTTCAAGTATCCGACAGGTGTATCGATCTAAAATGATAAGATCAGCTAAAAATTCAGATTGTATGTGTATGCCTAGAATTTAAGCATTGAATCGTAAATAGATAAAGAAAAGTCTTTTCGATCTTGATGACGTCATTCTTCTCTCACTCTATTACGTGGAGAAAACGGATTCGAGATTCTCCAGATTTTGATAATAACAATAAGCGATACAAACAATAATAATAATAATAACAATAATAATAATGATAATGATAATAATAATAATAGTAAT